TCTTTAAAGATGGTCTGCATACTCATCTTCATTATGTTATGTTTTGTTTATTTAATTTCAGTTTCAATAAAATCCCCAATAAGAAGGATCTTAAGCTCTAAGGACATGCGATCGAAGCAGTCGCAAAATCGATGTTAGTGACGCAAACTCGTCCAATAACTCATCCAACAATTGAAATATTCATCTATCTGTCCCAATAATGTTAAATCTCAACAAATATCAAAAATTCTACATCAATACACAACATTTAACAAAAAAAACGGACAACGCAGAGAGAGTTCAAATGCGTCTAAACAGACAAATAAATCAGCAGTTTCCCGTTTTTCCTTTAAAATCCCAAGAGATCAGCTTTATCATAACACAACATTCTTCAGACTATACTGGGAGGATCTCCAGCCCAGCTACAAGTGGCCCGTGACCACCGCGTTCTGATACAATCCACCAACGGTGCATGCTGTGCCGGTTTCGGCTGATTCACTTCTGAGTCTTTCTCAGAGCTGCTCGGCATTGCCGACGACATGTACTCCTCTGGTGTCCATTTTGGAGGAACAGAGACGCTTAGTTTCGTGAGCCGTGGCCTTTGCGTAGGAACTGCCCCACTTTCTACAGCCATTGCTTGACCTCCACCATTTATATCAGATTTTGCAATCCCGTTGAAGTGATAAATATCAAACACTTTCTTCCCCATCATTCCTGTTGAATCCTTTATCCCTCCCAAATTTCGGTCTAACTCCAATATGACTTGCCATAACTCGCTCCACACGATGAACCCCGTGGCGCAGATATCGTTGAGCTTCTCGGTTGGGAGTCTAATGTTTGTTTCCTGAAGAACTTGGTGGAAGGCCTCAACGCTGATGAAGCCTCCTCCTCCGCTTTGGTCTCTAGCATCGAAAGCTCTTCTTATCTGAGACTCCCTCAGCTCAAGTTCGTTTTCTTCTTGGACGGATGGATCAAGTGCAAACAGAACGGTGTAATGTGACTCGCTGCCAATAACCCATATTGGCCATTTCGGACATTTGAGATTCTGACCGACTGTGCAGAAACCGAGAGACTCGAGCAACGTGAGGAAGCCCACCTCCACATGCTTAGATATGCCTTGTAGAAACATGTTGCCTCCAAAATCAATCCTTCCATCAAACACATTAGGAACCGCTTCTCCACACAACAGTAGGTTTACAATTTCCTAATTCCAAAAGGGGGCACAAAGAAAAATCAGGAATACTCAAGGAAAATATGGATAGAAAGTAAAGAAACACAAGTTACAACAGATCAGTCTGGATATTCGTACTACCTGGGAGGCATGCCCAAAAGGTGCAGTTACTAGGGGGAGGTTTGGATCATCCCTGTCGGTTTGAACGGAATCCTGTTCATGAAAAAAGTAATCATATACGGCAACAACAATAGATATTCAGTTATCATGGACAATGTCACAATTTTAAGCAGTAATAGACCCATAAAGACGAAGGAGGAACCTTCGAGCTGACATAGAGAATTCAAATGAATAATCTATATACACTACCACAATGTTTCAGTCTGCAAGTTGATATTCTGATTCTGCCAAGATCAGAAATCCATATCGTGCGGACTCACAAAGCCCCAAACCAGTCACCAATTAATCAACAACCTAAACATCGTCAGCACTTTTTTACTTATACTCCATGCCTAAAATGCTGATGTGGTATTGTCAATGAACTCTTATCAGATTCCTTCTTCTATATGGTAGATACACATTATAATGAGCTTGCCTTGTCTACTGAGATTTGCTCTCTCTATAATGTAAATTCTCTTTTCTGGCTGTAACGTCAGTAGTAAGGACCACACGACCAAATCAAAGGATGCCAAGCGACCACGTGACCAAATCAAAATATTCCAGGTCTCTTGAAAAACAGAACCCTATTTTGTGATTGAAATGTCAATTCAATCCCCTAATCTATCATTCAGGTATGCACCATTGTAAACATGTTAACAAACAGAATAGTAATAAGGATCAAGGTTGCGTCAATACCAGTCCACGAGAGAGTAAAGCAGAAATAAGGAATAGCAAAGCCCCCATGCGACTTTGGAAAGCATTTATTGTGCCTTCTAGCTTATTAAGGGCACTGGATTGAGTTGTGAATGTCTCAATTCTTAAGATCTTCTGCAAATCTGCAGCAGACTCAATTGGGAGCCCTCCAGCCATTGCCTGCACAATAAATTAAAAGGAATCTAATAGGATGCAACATAAATAGTGAAGCAAAACCAATGCTTGCACCAAATATCGACTAACCTCATGTTTCTGACTAGTATTTGAATCCTCAGAAGTAGATAGAGTGGCTATTACAGTGCGGTTATTGTTTCCACACATAAATAGAATCTCACACATGCTTCTAACAAGGGCCCTGCAAAACCAGGGAAAGTCAGTGACAGATGCTGAGAACGAAGCATGATAACTGAAATTCAAACGTGAATCATAGTTTAACAAATCTTCGAAAAACAAGTCACCTTGTTTTTGCTTCTTCTGGTACAGAAGCAAAAGAGTCTGATGCAACATATCGATTTTTAGATGATGTCCTGACACCCGAACTTGAGGAAGCTATACCTATTTCATCCGGAAAGTAAAGAAGGTATTTAAGAACAAATGCCTACACAGAAAATGAAACAGTCAGCATCAACTGCAAGAATGTCAACATGCTCCAGACAGCCATGAACCACATTTAACACAGATGACAGATCAGAACAAGAAAAAATAAGAGAATTACTTGCAATGCTGCTAAAACACCGCAGGGCCCACCTTCATGCTGCACTAAGCCTATAGTAGTTTCAGGATCAGGGCTAAACCTATAGAAGTGTAGACAAAGCATTAGTCAAATTATGGGCATGCAAAGTTAAATATGAAATATGATTTTTGAATAACCAATAAAAACGACACAGATATTGCAATAAAGATATTCACTTTACAACATTAACCACATTCTGGAGAAATTATTGAGCATCTAGTGTACAAATGGAAAGTTCCAGCTCTTAAAACTCAGTGAGGAACCTTATTTCATTGAAGAAATATGATACAACATGACATGCCTGATAGGAACGAACTATGTTCCACAATTATATCAATATACCTACGAGAAGACAAAAGTCTGGAATAATCCAACATTTCAAGAGACTATGCAATCTGATTTTCTGAAATTAGAGTTCAAAAATATACACTCACAAGCACTGTAATCAATCACGCAAATTGATCGTACCTTATGCCTTGGTTAGTCCACTGTGCAAGAATACTTTTGGATACATCATTCCCAAACAACATTGAAAACAACTGATTAGACTCTTCCGGCGATAACTCCCTCCCGGAAGCATCACCATCACCGTCACCAGATCCCAACGGTATATCGCTCTTCACAAGTTCGCGATCCTTATCAGCAACAGTAATTGGTGGAGCCGGAGCTCTGGGCTGAACCGGAGGGATCTTAGGCAATACCGACATTCGTTTCTCGGCTGCAGCAGCCATGAGCTCCCGTTGCAACCGCCGGCTTTTTGCCTCTGGCGACTCACCAGAGGAACCACCCGATTGAGATCCGGATCCAGTTTCTTCTTCTATGGGTTTACTCCGCTTCGGTTCCGGAGGATTAGACTGCATACTCATCTTCAAAGCCAATTTCAGGTCTTCGTCGTCTTGGTGATCCGCCATTGAAAAACACCTCAATTACCACCCGGATCCAAAGATCCCAGATTCTTCGCACAGGAAAGATTACGATTTCCGTTACGATTCAAAAACGCTGATGTATTCGCCAGATC